ATGAACTGGAAGAAGAGCACGTCCGACATGGCCATGCTGTTGTCTTGCTTCGGGGTGATGGCGTTGGCGATGATGACGGGCGGCTGCATCGCCAGACCCGTACCGACGCCGGCCACAAACTGGAAGCCGATCCATTGCGCGCTGGTGGAGTCGATGTCTAGCATGTAAATGAGGCCGGCTCCAATGGCGGCGAGCGATGCGCCGGTCATTAGCCACGGCTGGTACCATCCGACTAGCACGATACCTGGGGCGGAGAAGAGACTGAACAGCGCTGTTGAAGACGATGCGGTCAGCTTCTTGTCATCAACGATGGTGAGCACTTGAACTTACTCATCGGAAGAATAGTTGGCAGTAATCGGATACCACTCTGCAAGGGGGAGACTCCATTGACGGCCTGGAAGTAGATTGGAAGATTGTAGGCCAAGGGGAAGAAGGAGAAGTTGATCCTGAGAATAGGTTAACCAAATTCTACCCAAGAGAGAGGAGCCTTACATGGAAACGAAGACCGCGCAGGCCGCGATAGTCCTCCGCTTCATGAGACGGCCAACAAGCAGGGCACGGTCACCCTGGTACCATTCGAGAACAATGAAGACTATGACGAGGACACCGAAGGCGACCAGCAGACCGATAACGGTACCCGAGTTCCAGGCCTTGGTGACACCACCGTATTCAATGGCGAGAATGAAGCACGTCAGCCCGCCGAGAACGACAGCGACGCCCGGCAGGTCTAAAGTATAGATGAAGTCCTTCCAGCCAATGGGCTCAATTTTGTGGTGAGCAGGTGGCTTGTAGAAGAAAGCCAGGAAGAGAATAGAGGGCGCGCCGACGATGAGGTTGATGTAAAAGCTGAGGAAACGTCAGGTCAGTCCCGGTGCGCCATAACTACAGGGTAATATGAAGCTGTAATGCTGCAGACACTCACCACCAACGCCAAGTAAGACGGTCCGTGAATGCACCACCAAGAAGAGGGCCGACGACACTAGCAACACTGAAGATACCGCTAAGAAGGCCCAAAAAGGCAGGGACAAGCTTCTGGACGACAGAGACGGAGACAATAAGGTAGACTCCGCTGGTCATGCCAGCACCTCCAAAGCCTTGGATGGCGCGACCGACGATGAGGGTAGTGCTATTCTGAGCCACACCTGTAATATAAGGCCAAATCAGCCACTGAACAAGAAACCGACCATTGGAAATTCGGTATGCTAGTCCACTCACCACAGATCAAGCTCCCAAGCTCGAAGACGACCACGGCGGACAAGAAGACCCATTTGATGCTGGCATGCTTGAAGGCCTTGCCCCAGAGAGAGACGAAGCCGGCGAGGGTGAGGAGGAAACCGGAGCCATACCATCCGACCTGATCAAGACTTTGGAATTCGCGAGTGATTTTGGGAATGGCAGTGGCGATAATACTCTGTTGGCATACGGTGTTAGTAAGGTAAGATAGTTGCAAAGGTGACATAAGAGAGCAATAGGGGGGGGGGGGGCAGACCGAGTCTGACACAGCCGGCCCTTGTGTGTGTTTTTAGTTTGTTTGTTTGTTTTTTGAGAGGTTGGGTTGTATTATTTTTTGGTGTAAATGTTTTTTATATAAAATATATTTTCAAAGGGAATAAAAAAAAGAAAGTGGGGGGGGGGGGGGGGAAGCAAGCAGAGGACTCACCATGTCTAAGGCGACAAGAAATTGGCATAGCAAGAGGGAAGTCATCAGAATGAAGAGCTTCAAGCCGGTGGCGTAGTCGCCCTCTTCTGCTTTGTCGTCATCGCCGTCGGCGCTCCCAGTTCCTTTCTCGCTATCGACTGGTGCTGTGGGCCCAGGGGCTGCATCGTGACTGTGGCCGAGGGGTGCTTCGGTCTTGTTATCGTAAGAGCGCGTCAGCTCGACGCTCGGTTGTGAGCGTGGCTGGTCCTCTGGAGTCGCGGTGGCCATTGTGACGGTGTTTTGTTGCTGTTCCTCCGGCAATTGGTGTGATCTTGTCTGCTGTGGTGGTGGTAATGATGGCCTTTTATTCAAGGGCGACTAACAGAGATAGCTGCAGTATTGTCTGCTTCGCCTCCTCGCAGAGAGCATCGAATGATTTGTGCAACGGATGCTTTTTGAATACGAAACCACTAGAAAGGGAGATGAGAGGTGATTTTCTTGGTTTTTTGAAGTAGAAAAAAAAGACACTTCGACGTGCCCGTGACTTGCACCATCTGGCCATGGTGAAATTGCTGAATATCCCAAACGGTACGTACCTCGCGATAGAGTGAAGAGTGAATCGGATTGTTTGCTTGCCGACTTGCCCAGATTTGTAATGTGGACCAGAGCGGTGCAAAATTACGCCGGCTCTCAAACGGGTGGTACAGCGTGCCCTGCAGTCGAGTGATGAGGGTGCGGCGCAAACGCATTCTTGTCATTGGATCATTCGGAAACACCATACTTCATCACACTTCACACCCCCCCAGTCGGGAATAATTGTCCCACCCTTACCTAAGTCATTCCAGACTCGTTTGAGACTTTTGTGAATTTGGGGTTGTACCCATTCCTCCGCCATCTGTAAGCCGTCAATGGCAATCGTCAAGCTGTCAAATGAAGAGTGCCGGTATGGCCAACGACCAATCTGGGACGGGGCTTGCTATCATTGCCCATTGCCCAATCCCAGTATCTCAATCGGACGCCATTCTAGCTGATATCCTGCACACCTTACCTTGGACAGGTTCTCAAGTACTTGATATCATGCGTACAATCTTTTTTCTTTGTTTCTGTGTTTTTTTTCGTACCTCTTCTCGATCCGCACCTACCCTGATTTATGGTGCACTTTAGGAAGGTTTCAATGAGGTTCTATCTTACCAAAAGTGGCATCATTTTGGAGTAAAGGACGGGGTGGAAAAGAGGAAGGCACAGCAAAGTGGGCTCGGGTCAATACCTTCCAACCATACATGAGGACCTCGTTGCCACTACATACCAATACCGGTAGGCACTCATCCTCTGTCACACGCATCAGGAGGTGCATCTTGAATGGAAAGGTCAATGTCCAAACTCCGTCTCCACGGTGTAAGGCAGGAAGGACAAGCCTCTCGTTTACCCGTTTGGGTCTGGATGCCGTCGGGGACTCCAAAGCAGGTAGGCACTTTGTTGTAGCTACCTACCTTACCACGTGCTTGCATCTTCATTCATGGCCGTGAGGGCTGGTGGAGGTACCTTTCTGTACGTACCCCAGGAAACCCCCCGGGGACGGGAAGCAAGTGGGGTCAATGCGGTACCTAGGCACCTGCTTAGGTAAGGTGTGCAGCTGGCTAGGTGCCGCTGTACCGCGCATTGGTACGGAGTAGTGATGAGTATGGACGGTAGTGGAAGTCCATTCGCGAAGCGGCCAATCAGAGACCCACTTAGCCTGAGGGAGGAACGGTGCGCTACCTTAGCTCAACGGCGGGCTACTGCCTGCATCCATCCCGAGGCCACCCTGGTTGCGCCTACCTTGTCCGTTTTCTTGCGTGCTTGCCGGGATGGGGTCCTTTGGAGACTTTTGTCACCTTTGTGATGGAAGGTTTGAATCACAATGGTTCCATCGAGGCTGCGCTGCCATGTACGTTCTCGATACGCTCACTTGATAACACCCTCTGTCCGAACTTGGCCACTTCGCAAGCATTTATCTGGGTGTTTTCTTGATATTACCTACCGGTTCTTTGTGTATGCCAATTGGCCGAGTCACCGTCTTCCATTCGTCTTCCTCTTCTATGAGTGTTACTCAATTCGACTCCCTCATGGTCATATGACATACCGTCCCGATGGCACACAGCAGCATCTTCGACTACAGTTCCGAGGTGACCAAAGCACCAATCTATCATCTTTTATCTGGGAGAGGTTTTACAGACTTTCTTGCTGACTTCTTGCTCCAAACCATCAGGGGTCCCCTGGGCCGCAATCTCACGCGTCAATATCATCGTCGTACGAGTCTAGCGACTGGCATGAATACGAACAAAACCAAGCACAAGCAATCCCCTCTACGTCGGCATCAGCGTCGACGTCCAAGTGTAGTTGCGCCCGAAAAGCATCCAGACTGCTCAAGAAAATCCCAAAGGAGGGTATCGTCTCGTTCGACGCCGTCATGCAGCTTCATCACTCCGTTGTCGAACAATGGCGCCAGGCCACACGCTGTCGCCATTGCAACAATGACAATACCAACAATGCCAACGTCACCTGTGCCTTGACTACAGCCTCCGAGAAGCTCCTATCTCTCTTCGAGGCCACTACATACGCCTACACAGACATCGACTACTTCTCACAGACATCGCCGCATCGTAAGTTCAACATCCATAGTCTCGGCGTTGCTATTATGATCTATCTATACTCTTGTCTCCGTCGCCCCAAATCCTCGGCCTCGGCCTGTATAGCAAACTGACGAACGGCACGGCAGGCCTCGGCAGCGCCCATCTGTTTTCACTCAAGCTACCCGCTACTACTGTCACCTGCACCCGGACACAGATGACCCTCGGAGGCTTTCTTCTACAGGACGATGAGGCAAATATTCTCGCCTCCCAAATTATTTACAAGAGTCTAGTGACCCACCACAGTCTGCTCCAAGACTTCCAATCTACCCAGGCTCTCAGCGACAGCGACCAGTTCTTCGTTAACGATGGGGGAGGCCTTCAGCGTATCATTGACAGGCTTTTGAGACTTTTGGGCCGCTTGCAATGGGAACAGGAGACCATAGAACGCTGAGGTTGAGGAACGGCTGCAGCTGCCGTCAGGTGCCTTTTGAACTTATTCACCTTAGATTGGATACGTCTATGTCTCGGAAACCCGTGTGCCTGACTTTTGTCAAAGTCATTAGATACGCCGTCTCCAGCTCCAGCAAGAAATGCCATGAGCGAGTGTACATTACACAGCACTTCCCAGTCAGCTACATGACTGAGCAGAGTAATTGCTCTGTCCTATCTGTATTTAGATCTCGGTAGATATATACGCCTCTTTCCTTGATCCATCTTCTGGTCAGTCGCCAAGTGCTCCTTCAACACTCTCAGTATTCTAATCTAGGCCGGAATCTCAAGTTTAGAGGCTGTTTCTCCCAAACGCTCCACACGTGCTTATCAGTGTACCATTGCTCCTGGCCCTCGACCAACTCAAAGTCCAACCGGTATAGGATTCTGCAGATCATCAGCCGCATCTCTGAGTACGCCAGATTCTTGCCGGCACAGTCTCGAGGTCCGTAACTGAAGGGCTTGAAAGCAGCCTTGTTGTCGTATTCAAACCTCGGATCGTACAGAGGATGCGTCTTGGGGAGCCAGCGCTGCGGACACCAGCTCTCTGCGTCAATGAAGTTACCCTTGTTTCGCATGGTCGCCACTTGGTTCACGTGGAGCAGCGTCTAGCGATGATTCATGTCAGTCTCATGATCGGTGTAGAGGCAATGGTATAAATCGATTAGGAGGAACTCACACCGCGAGGAACCCATTTGTCTTCAAACATGGCTCCAGGAGACTGACGAGGTGGTGTCTCGACGACAGTGGGGAAACAACGCAGTGTCTCATCTATACTTGCCCTAAGGTATGGTAGATGCTGCGTGTTGACTAGGTTGATGTCCGATTCGGACTTGTACGCAGACCGAATCTCTTCAATCAACGGTTCCAGTGCCGCTGGTGACATGCAGGCAAAGAAGAAAAAGCCGCTTACAGCCGACGCTGTCGTCTCGCTGCCGGCACCGATCAGCAACCCGCTGTTCATCATGATTTCCTGCTCCGAGAAGCCCGGCTTTCCATCGCGCGTCTCCCGCATCATGTACGTCATGAAATCGCGCCGGCCGTCTTTGGGCTCGGCGCCCATAGCCATTCGCGCTTTCACCTTCGAGTCGCCCAGCTTCATGTTCTCCATCATGGTCGAGATGGCGGTCCAGATCTCACGCCAGCCCACGAATATCAGGAAGAACGGTGTGAGGTGCGGCTTCGCCAGTATCATTCGGCTATACGCGAAGCCACGGATGGCCCTGAAGAAGCCCGAAACATACGGGTGAAAGCTGCTGTCATCGAGGTTGTGGAACGACTCGGCGAAGGTCAGATCTCCAATGACATCAAACGTGGTGTAGTTGAGCCAGGTTACAATGTCCACGGCACCCGACGCTCGCTCTAGGTGATCGACTAGCTTCTCGACGTAACGACCGATGATGCCCTCCTGCTCCTTGAGCGCAGCGTCACTGAAAGCGTGGTTCAGCTGGCGTCGCATACGGCGATGCTCGTCCCGCGGCGCGGCAACAATTGTCTTGTAGTCGCCTGGAAACAGCTGGTTCGGCACTTTGGCGAACTCATCCATGCCGTGTACCGTGGCGTTGAGTGAGAAGACCTGCGTCCAGGCGATGCTGCCGTCCACCATCAGGCGGTCCGGCCCGAGGCGCACAATGTTGCCGAACTTCCGTTGAAGACCCGGAGCCTCACGAGTGTAGGTGCCCCTGACGTTGGTCCGCCACAGCCAGAAGAGATCCGACGCTCCCCACCACTTGGGGCCTGGATATCTGGAAAGAGGATGGAACCATAGCCGGTAGATGGTCACAACAACCCGGTGTATGACGATCTACGTGAGCGAGGGTGTCAGCAAGGCCACACCACCATAGATGCAATTGTGCCACACCAACGATAAGACAAAAGAACTTTGGTACTCATTCACCCACTAGAAATGTCAGCACCCCCAACACAAGTTGAATTTGGCCTGTCGGCGTGTATTGAAGTGGCGCGAAAAGGCTCGCCCATGTCTTGGAAAGGATCATTGTTTATTTACCGTCGATAAGGGATCACAATTACGCAGGCTGTAAGCATAAGCACACCAACGGCAGAAACGGCACTGACCGGCTTGTTGCCGCCCCTTGAACATTGGTCTCGGGGTTTTATACGGACTGTTCCCCTTTTGAACCCTTCTTTCGAACAAGGTACGGCACCGGCGCCACTCCCGCGGCGTGCATGATCCTTCCAATCATGTCATCAGATTCCCGTCCCCTTTTGGAGTATTTCAAAGGTGAGACACTGCATTTGTACAATTCATCCGAAGCCGACGGCTAAACTCATGTGATTTGCGTCTTACCGGTATCAAATCTCGCATGTACCTATCTGGCGAGCGTACATGCATGTCGTATCCAAAGCCAATGATAAAAGACCCGACACATGCTGACCACAATGTGACATCGGCTGCTTTGGTTCGATTTGTAACTCGGCCTAATCCATCAAGACGCCAAGACATTGGAAACAATGTCTCGAGTTTCATTTTCTCGTTGTAAGCTTTTAAGCGGGCTCTGTTAGCTTTTTGGACGGATAGAGTTAATGCAGGCCAGAAAGGTGTTTTACTCTCGAATCACGTTGCACCGAAGTCCGATTGCCCATGATGGAGATCGCATTAGACCTGCTTGCGCAAGCCCGCGGCAACAATTACGTGACCGTTACCGTCGCTGTATTGTCTCTAGTTGTCTTCTTCTACTTCAACTACAGCACTCAGCCGTTCCGAGGTATTCCCTATGTCGGGGGTCCAAAGTGGGACATTCTCAATATCAAGGCACAATATCGTTTCGTGACGGACTGTAAGAATCTCATCAAAGAGGGTCTTCAGAAGGTGAGGAATGGTTCATTTCATACTTAAGTCCTTGGAAGGGGAATTTTTATGGCTAACAGCGTCGCGTTCATGTAGTACAATGGACCTTTCCAGGTCATTGGCTACGTGCCCATCACCGTCTTGCCCCCGAGATATGTCCCTCTTATCAAGGACCACCCGAACCTGGACTTCGGGAAGTCTGCCGAAAGAGTATGTCTTGAGTTTCTTACGCTGTTTTGATTCTCGTTGGATTCACATGCATGACATGTATAATGTTTTTCGGGATCTAACCAATGAACGTAGAGGCTATTTGGGCAATACCCAGGCCTAGACTGGGCGCACAAGATCAATGAGGACCGTATCTTCCAGGAATCTCTGAGAATTAACATGACACAATATCTTAGTGAGTCTCCTCCATGATGATGCCATCTTTCCTCTCTTACTAGTCATTAATTTGTTGCGCTTTATCCAAATCTTAGGCGAGGCCACACTCCTTTTAGCAGAAGAAGCACGCGAAATCCTCAGCGAGTTTTTCCCACAGACAACCGGTAAGCTCGATCCGTTTCCCGCTATTCCTTGGCTGTGGCTAAACCTATCATCAGAATGGACCTCATACACCTTTGGCAAAGACGCCGCAGAAATGGGCGTGCGCCTCTCAACTCTCGTCTTCCTGGGCAAGAGATTCACAAAAAACAAGGAGTGGCTCTACATCTGCACGCAATACCCGCAAGGCATCTTCGGCGCCATCGGCGGGCTGCTCTCCACGCCCAAATTCCTCCGACCAGTTCTCTACCGCTTCCTGCCCCATATCATCGCCCTCAAAAAGTACGGCGAGGTCGCCAGGACGCTCATCCTCCCTGAGATTGAGGAGCGGCGGCGGCTGCGCGATGCCGGTGCTGATGTCAAGTTCAATGACGCGCTGGAGTGGTACTACAAGAACTCGTCTAAGCGCGGCAAGGAGGAGGACTTTGATGCCGTGAGCGCCATGATCTCGCTTGCGTTCGCGTCCACGCATACAACAGTCGATTTGCTGTGTAATGTTCTGTATGACCTGGCGGCTCACCCTGAGTGTATCGGTCCGATGAGGGAGGAGATTGACAAGGTCCTCGCCGAGGATGGGGGCTGGAAGAAGACGACGTTGTATAAGATGAGGTTGATGGATAGTTTCTTGAAGGAGACGCAGCGCATGAACCCCGTTCAGCTGAGTACGAACTCCCCCAAAACGCAGCTCAAAGAATTCGCCAGACAAAACCCGCGAGTCACTAACACATTATCCCACGCAGCCGCAATGAACCGCTACGTTAAACAAACAACCATTCTCTCAGACGGGACCCGCCTACCCAAGGGCTCACTCCTCGCCGTCTCGCTGGAAGGTCTCCGTGATGCCTCGCAGTTTGCGAACCCCGACGTCTTTGACGGCTTCCGCTTCGCACGCAAGAGGCAAGAGCCGGGGCAGGAGAACCAGTGGCAGTTTACGTCGACACGCAACGAGTTTCCCTCATTCGGGCACGGGCAGTGGTCCTGCCCTGGGAGGTTCCTGGTCGCCAACGAGCTAAAGATCTTTTTGGCGGAGCTGTTGATTAGGTATGATATCGGGTATCCGGCGGGCGTGACACGGCCGCCGTGTACGTGGTTTGCTACGGAGAGTCAGGTGAATATGGATACGCCGCTGGTGTTTAAGTTGAGGGAGAAGGCGTGATGGTTTTCTGGATGCAATGAAGATTCTGATGAGTTTCCACGAGCCCCCTTTGTACACGGCTGCGTATCAATGGATGCAGGGTTTGGGTTTTCTTTGGTCATATATGCGGAGTCATATGTTGCTGAACCAAAGTTTATGTAGGATGAAGCACCGAAATAACAATGAATAAAGTGAACACACATAATTCTGTACTTTCTAAAATATCATGATGGCTTCAGCTAGCCGGGGCCTTACCGCAAGCCACGTGACCTTGGTTCCGTAATTATCAAGGTCTTTACTCCCTCACGCCTCCTATCTCGGGGCGAGCGTCGTACTCATTTCTCACTTTTAATAAATGACCTTTCCCTATATTCTGCGCCGATCTCTTTATTACATATCATGCTAGGAGTCAGCGACCCAGCGTGGGGCGATGATTGCGACCCCTGTCCCAGATTGGCCGTTTCTTGGGCTATTCCAAGTGATGCGTCAAAAATATGCAAAGTAGGTGTCCGTGAGCTCATTATATTCAACTTTTTCTATACTACCACTTAACCATGACTCTACTAGACTTGTTCAAGCAGCGCAAAATTGCTGACTTCGATTCCTGTGATATGACTATCGCGGTTGAGCTGATGGGTCAACGACATACGCACGAGAGGGCCAGTGCCTCTTGAAACCAGACCGAGTCGCCCGTTAAGATTCTCCGTCCTAAAATCTTCAAGCCTTCTGAATTGGACGTGATAATTCGCATGGACCTGCTTTCCTGCTTGTTCGATAGTGATGTCTTGGGGAATGAGCTAAATATATATAAGATATTATATATATTATATTATCCGAATTTCCTATGCCGGTCTTAATTGGAGTCACTTAGTCGAGGTAGAGCGTCTACTCGCTATTGGCTACAAAACTTAATAGTCTCTATCCACAATAAGTATAACACAGTCCCCGTCAATCTGCCTCATCTTCCCCGAGCATAACCACTCTGAACTTTGCGGCTAGTTTCCGGACTCGTCTAAAACATCGAAAAAATATTAAGTGTCCCCGTAAACCGTAATCGATCTTCCCATATCTAGGGAGACCGCTATAATAGACGTATTTAGCTTGCATAGGCTAACAATTAAGTAAGATAGTGTAGTGGACTAGAGCTCCCTATGATTGTAACAGTTACTAATAGTGGTTACTCTTTGGGCTATTGTATCTTCTCCTAATAGAATATACAGAACATCGAGTTACCGCGGGTTACTGAGGCCAGAACATAACCGAGTAGTTTACCGTCGTCCTAAATTCTGGTAGAGCCTCGAGTATCGGCAGGGTTCTTTGCCATCCCACATGGTCGATGCAAATATAGTTTCATGGATAATCAGTAATAGCTAAGGAATATTATATGTCATCTAGCTCGGAAGGCCGAAATGCGTGCGAAACGGACGATCTCATCTTAGATTATGCATCCACGCCGTGATGGCGACCCGCTTGATTTCTCTTCTCCCTTCATACCTTCCTCGCCGCCCTCTCACTCCTCATCCCTTATCGTCTCCTTCAAACCTTCAGCAAGCATGCTGAAAATTAGCGCCTCATGCCTCTCCCGTTGCAGGTTGTTACTTCCAGTGCAAGTCGTCCATGCGTTTGTAGTAAGTGATGTCATCCTCTCCCTCTTCCTTTGGCACGTCCGTCTTCTTGCTACAGAGCGGCCGGCACACGCCGATGGCGTTGGTTAGCGCCTTGTCACACTCGTTGTCAACTCTGTAGTTATGGCAGACATCGCAATTATTGTTCGTCTGACGTTTGCAGTCCTGATTGTTACTGCAGCCGTAGTCGTAGCATGAGTCTCTCGCCGTCAAGCTGTTGTGGTCGTAGGTCACCAACCATTCGCCGGCTGGCTCATGTTCAGGCAGTCTGAGTGCCGGGTTACGTCTGTTGATACCCTTCGCGAATAGCACTCGGGCGTAAGGGGGGTCGAAGACGAACAGCGTCTCGCCTGTGGCAGTGTCTTTGACCTCTGCCGTGGTAGAAAGCTCATCAATGTTGATGACGTGGTTAGCACCACCTGGAACTGTAGCCCACTCGATTTGTTCTTTGATATGCTTCGCAGTATCAGAGTCGAAACGGGTATCAATAAAATACAGGCTGTTTTTGCTGACTGCTGCGACGTAGGGGGTATCAGGCGCTACAATCTGGGGACCGTGCCAGGCATCGACGAATCTTGGCTTGAAGGCACTTTTGTAATAATGCTCTTGGAAGGTTGGCGAGCCTTCACAAGGTCTGAATGGATTTATAAGCATGGCGATGAACAACCCAATGATCATTCTGGTGGAGACTTGGTGAGGTGAATGTGTTTGAGCTTTTTCCGATGAGAGGTCCTCTTTACTTTTCTTTCCTCTGAGAGAAACGGTCTCCTTTTTATGTTCCAGATACTCAGGAAACGAAAACAGTTCAGGTCTTTGCTGTCATTGTTGACATTTCAGAGCGAAGCTGAGAGAAATGCCATGATGTTGGTTCTATCACAGATGCAGGACGCTAGAGCCCAAAATAGAGCACCGGTCAGAACTGGTCTCCTCAAATTCGCCCGGCTACATAGGATTTGTGTTGGGACTGGATTGTCGAGACAAATCAGAAGGTGACTAACCACGAGTGACCAGGGGCCTTTTATCGACTAACAGTCAATACAAGCTTCGGGCCACATTCCTACACCCTGGCATAAGCGACGAAAAGGGAAGCTCGATTCAAGTCGAAACCAACAACTAACACCCAACACGAGCTTTCGGATCGAACGGCACAATCATAGTTTCACGAATACTTCCTTTAGCGTTAGGCCACATCCTCCAGTATATGCCCGGATAGCGGGGTTTGGCCAACAGCCGACGCGCTCCGGACCTTGATCCGTAGCGCCCGACTTCGCCAGCGCAAAACTCAGACCAGCTGTCTCCCAATCTCCCACATTGCTCTCCAACCTCAACTACTCTTGGCTGACATCTCGTGTAGTTCGCGGTTCATTACTAATGTACACGTATGTCTAGGCATTCCTAGCGCCTCCCTCCTTGAGACCTCTTCGCCTTCTTTGCCGGTGCTAAGCCTGTCACTGAAGTATCTGAGGTAGTCTGGCGTTCGTTTGGAGTACCAGACTGGTGATTTTCTTCGGCAGAGGCTGGGATGGAGTCAAAATCTGACTGCGAAAGGTGACAATTGCCAAATTCTTGGGAAAGGCCAGTTTCCGGAAGCTCTGGGACATCGAAATCCAAATTTGGACAGCATCTGGTCGATGATTGAGCAAATCCTCTTAAGTGCGTCGGTACCCAAACAGTGTAGACGTTCCTTGTGAATTGATAAGCCGTCCACTTTTCCTTGTCATCAAGCTCAGTAAAGTCGAATGTACGGATCGGGTAGCGATAGTACTTTGTGGTTTTGCCATCTATCACGGGATAGTGACCGTTGATTCTGACAAGTCAATGATCGTGCGAACTGGAGAAGGCAAGAATTTGGCGGTCTATTTCTCTCTCGCGCTTCACAAGCCGAAACAGCTCAACATGTACCTGAGGTTGTATCTGACCAAGGAGGCACCCAGGTAAGTAAGTGGCTAATATACGGTGAATTGCCGGTTTGTATTATACGACTTTACGTAAATATTCAAGCTTGACGAAGACTCTAAGAAGCCGGATAGGCTGACTACACGAATCGAGTACTTGATTTATGAGCACTAGTGGCTTGATAAATATATTAGCGATAGCGAACGAATGGAACTGGAGCACGATAAGTTGTGGTAACAGTTTGTGGAGAAGAAGATTGGTTCTTAGACTTCATGAGACTAAAGAATTTGTGCGGACGAGACCGAAAAAGCTCGCGCCGATAATGAAGGAGCTGTTTGCGTTTGCGGTTGAAGAAGTATTGCGATACAACTCACTACTCTGCTCGTGAACGTAAATGACCTTGGAAGTCAAGATACGAAAGAACGGTCGGCTGAAATCCAGCTGAGTAGCCGCATGCAGTCAGGTGAGCGGCCTAGACTCGGCTCTGGCCTTTCTCGCAACAGCCCCGGCCCCGACTTTCACGCGGGCCGTAACGGTGGTAACCTTAGATATGAAACAATATCCGCTTGCAGCTTCTGGCTACCGAGATATGGTCGATCAGTCCTACAACTGGAGAGTAAGGGCTGGCTGAAGTGTAACAATGGCTCTGGTATCGTACGAGCCACGACTGTTGCAGCAGCTGAACCGCCAGCGATGCTGGCACTCTTCCTAGTCTTGAAGATGGTCAGCCCTTCATGGACAAGTCGGGTTCGTTGCCCGAGGCCGTTGTGCTCACCGGCATAAGACATTGTTCCAGCCGCATGCTATCTATCACTTGAGTTTTATCTGTGCTGATACATCATCCATGTTTTACAGCTGGACTATGTTCCCGAAAGGACCCATCACCACCTGCTCAGAGTTGATACGTTGCGTGTTTTTCCCCAATCCTACTGTATCGTTGAGTTTACCGGGATGAAAGACAGCGAAGGCCACCATGACAGAGAACATCAAGAACGAGTCAAAAATGTACATCATGGCTTCGTGCTGATTGACGAATCCGTACCAACCCTCAGCGAATTCCGTTGCCCTCACCAGATTTCGCACCCAGATAGCAACCACCGAAATGATCAGGGTCCAAACATAACGTCCCCAATGCTGTAAATAAATCGTTTCCCTCTGCGTAGCCCGCTGAAATCGCATGACGAGAGCAAAGTAGACGACCATAACGAAGAGCTGGAAAAGTAGACCGCCCAAGACAACATGGCCTCCAATTTCCATGATCTTTGGGTTTGCAATAACTTGTACAAGTGAACCGCCGATTTGTGTGCAGAAGGCGATGATATCCGTGAGAATGAAGATACTGGTAGGGCTGCACTTCCGCCTTTGATGGCCTAGCAAGGCCTCTTTGAGTCTTCCGAGATTGACGTATATGGTTGCGGAGATGAAGACAGGCGCAACGAGAATGAGCATGAGCTGCAACATGAATGGCTTAGGGGATAAAGGCGCTGAGCCTGCCCAGGCGCGTCCCAAGTGTCCAAATGTGTCACCTATTGGATTTATGTGGAGTTAGATTCCTGAGAAGTCTCGTCGATGCTACAAAGTTGAAAGGAGTCGTAAGAAAAAGAAGGCAAATGTTCCAACACTTACATATTCCTCCGAGTACCATCGGTATGAAGTATTTTGTCTTATATCTACGGATCAACTAAACATGAAAGACTGTGATACCTGCAAAAAGAAACAAGAAAATGACACCTGCAGCTTTTGAAGGCGTGTACGGGTAGAAGAGGACTTTCCCATCTTCGAAATGAACGAGACCCATTCTGGCTGGACCTTGAGGTTGGGGGCCAAGGAGGTCTTTGATAGATGGTGGAAATGTTTCGACACAAATGGAGACTTTTTTGGAATTGAAGTTACGGAAACAAATCGACACAGTAAAGAATGTGAAAAGAAATTGCAGTCAAAGTAGTTTCGGTAATGTTGCTCATTATGGTAGACGAGTCGCAATATTTAAGCAGCAAGCCAGAACCGTAGGTTCGTACTCAAACACAGGCGCGCCTCAATGGGAGCCAATCGCTGAATTTTCGTATCCTCGTGTACTAATACGGCCCCACCCGGCTTCGTCGCGCTCATGTTCCCACTCGTAGTTTCACTTCGACGGAGCCTTATGATTACATGTACAGCAAAGTTTGATCATGGTGGTGACATGTATCGCGTATGTCTCTGGAGATGCTTGAAGTATTGAATTACTAGCGAGTCCTGGAGCTAGCTATCCAACCTCCCTCTAAACGGACTCCAGCCAAAGTATGCAAGATCAGGAACGCGCCGATGTCAACCGGCTGCAGCCACGTTGGTCTACCTATCAAAACAAGTTCCCGATAGCGTGGAGACATGAAGCAGGCATCCGGTTATCTTCATCAATACTTGTGCCCTCCTCAATTTTTTTTATACATGAGAAGCCTGGACTTAGGTTACACGTAATCGATATGCAATATTGAGAATTGATTGAGAATCGGTTCGTTACTACTCTAAGTCGCGGTGTATTGCCGCCATTCAGACGGGAGAGTAATTTCAATTTTTCCGAGATCGTCCTCAAGTACCAAGAGAATACTACGTACCAGGTGTAAAACCCAGGCTGATCATCCTTCACACTTGATGTTCATCAGTCCATAGGCTTAAATCCTATCTCATTGCCAGAACGGACGTAGATTATCGAAATGCCTTCCATCTACTATTTGAGGCAGGGAAATTTGGCTCACTTTCTCAGGCTCTGAGTCTTGGTAGTCTTGAACCTTGGTCTTTTCAGGAGACATTTCGTTGTGCCACTTCTGTGATCGATGCTGAGCTCTGGCCCGCCATGGAAAGTCCCAGTAATCCTCATCCTTCTTCATAGTCTGATAGCGCTCTTCCAGAGCCTCATCCTCAGTCAGGAAATGTGGGCTTGCGTCAGACGAGGGCGAGGGGTAAAATCTGGCGTCATAAAGGAATACCCATGCCCTTTGTAGGTACGCTGTAGTGAGCGTCATATAATTCGGGATAATACGCGAGTGAAAAATCCGGGATATGCCCGGGCCATTTCCAGAACCCTCCGGTACTCTACCAATCGAATGATAACCTTCTATGAATAGTGTGACCTCTCCCGTCTGGAGTCATATATTTGATGGAAATTTTCAAACCACTCCTTGAGGCGGTCCCTTCCAGTTTGTCCGGGTTCAGTACCTAGATCGAAGAAGGGTTGTGACGAGATCGAGTCCACCATAAGTTAACCTTGATGCAATATAATGTCCGCAGCCTATGTCGTAGGCATATGCCTCAGGGTCAACGCATAGGCTATCTGGATAAAGTAGGCCGAGAAGGTGAGAGGATGTAGAACCTTTACTAAGAACAATTTCTGGTAGCCAGGAATTGCTGCACTGGGCAAACATGGTCGCGTATAGTGTTTTGATATATTCGTCAACACACAAAGTTGCCTGTAGTTCCCATAATTGAAATTTTTGACCGCTGTGTCGATGCAGTGACTCTTTGCAGAGTTTTTAGACATTTCTGTCCATAAAAGAATTGAGATGGTGCCGTAGAAAGGCTCGGAGCAGTCGCTTTCTTTCTAGACATGTAAGATTAGCGGCATTGAATCTAGAACAGACGGTCTGACCTTTGAATCTCAACCGGGATTCCATTCGAGATGGGAGGCACAGATACTCCCGCGGGGGGGGAGACTGCAGTGGCTTTCGTGAGATAGTCCTCAATGAAAAACCTGTGTCCTTGATGAAGATTACTGATCTTGGTGATCAAGGCCTGGTTTGGGTTTTTGAGAGGCTGATAGAACGGGTTGGTGAATTGTTGCGTCGCCCAAGAGAGGCAATGCTGGCGGGCTAAAGCTTTGAAGTTAGCAGCAGACCGTGAAGGAAAGAGGATAATTGCCATGGCGTTCCATCATGCCATCATGAAATTCGGAGGCTAGTAGCTTCTTAGTGATATATCCTTTTGACCCAGTAAATTGCCCAAGCATGATAGGTGAGGCTTGGGTCGGCTGCAAAATTGTACGTGGGCGCTGAGTTTCCGGTGGGTAGTTGAACGAACAATAAAAAAAACTCACGGCCACAAATTGTACCCTGATTTCGGATGGCTGGCAGGGTTGCTCAAGCGCAAAAAAGGGATAAGATCCATAGCGATAAACACGTAAAGTCGTGGGAAAGAGGCAGGCCGTTGACTCTGAGTTCGACAATCTCGTCAATCACAAAGTCTCCGGCAAGCCCCAAGATGCCGCATCAGACGCGAGGATTTATCAATCCCACAACTCCGACGAGGCCGACTTCTGAACCAGGGCTACACCCAATCAGGCGACCACAATGATGGCCTGCGGTCCAGCCACGGTGTTTAACCGCTCAGTGTAACGATGCGATACTCTCGAGGTATCTTGATTTTCATTGATTCTTGAATTATGTATAGGCGATGAAGGAGAGGCAGTCCCTCCACCGGAAATCCCACCGGTTGGCCCACCGGAGGTTCGCATTCTGCCGTCTAGGCCTGAGGGGAGCCTTTGTGATGGTAACATGTCTGCATTTTCTTGCGAATAGTGTATCTTCCGGGTCGAGGGAATTTCATCATTGCGGTAAACGAGGTGGTGCAGATCTGGAGTTCCCTCAGGATTCAGCCACAGATTGACATCCGATCAAAAAGGTTATCATAGGAGTGTCCCCATGATTACCTCGCATATAAATGATCAATTGAGCTGAAGAATACACGGCAAATCAGACGTTCTTGCAAAGAACAGTCTATATCTTGTGTCATTATGCTCGTCTACTTCGTCTTCCTCCAGTACTTGGCCTGGGCTGCAGCCCAGATCAACTTCACCAACCCGATCATCTGGCAAGATCTCCCAGACATCGACCTAATCCGCCACGGCGACGCATACTACTATTCCGCCTCAACCTTTCAATTCTCACCCGGAGCAGTCATCCTACGCTCTTACGACCTCGTCAACTGGGAATACCTCTCCCACTCGGTACCAAGTCTGGAATTTGGCAACACAGAGGGCTTTGATCTCGTCTCCGGCCCTGGGCAGCGCTACAATCAGGGAATCTTTGCATCCTACTTCAACTACCGCAAGAGCACCGACACGTTCTACTGGGGAGGATGCATCGTGGGCGACTGGAAGACTTATGTCTACACCGCGCCCGCCGTGGAAGGCCCCTGGACACAGAGCTCCGTCATCGATATCTGTCTCTACGACGCGGGCATGCTCATAGACGACGACGATACGATGTACGTAGCGCACGGCAACACCAACATCTCAGTTGCTCAGTTGAGCGATGATGGCCTACGTGTTGTCAGAAACGAGATCGTCTTCAATTCGACAGAGGAGCTCGGCTACATCGAAGGATCCCGTTTCTACAAGAGGAACGGCGCCTGGTACCTCTGGATCGTCAAGCCAGTCCCGGACCAAATCGTGCTCAAGTCTACAACTGGACCGTTCGGACCCTATGAGTGGAGATGGGTACTGCAAAGCAATGGAAATCCAGTTCCAGGCGCGGGCAACCCGCACCAAGGCGCTCTCGCTAGCACGCCCGACGACAAGTGGCATTACATCGCGCACCTCGAAGCGTACCCAGGAGGCCGCATTCCCGTCCTCGCACCCGTCCACTGGGACGACGACGGTTGGCCTCACGTGGATTTTGTGGATGGGCAGTGGTCGAGCTCCTATCCCTACCCTCTCCCAGAGCACCCAGTCAAGCCCATCACCGGCACAGACAAGTTCGAAACACTCGGTCCTCAATATCAATGGAACCATAATCCAGATAACTCGGCATGGGCTATCAACAACGGCCTCGAGCTCCATACGGCGACTGTCACGGACGACTTCTTCCGCGCTCGGAATACCCTCACGCATCGTATTCTCGGGCCCCAGTCTACTCTCACTGTGGAACTCGATCACTCGCGGATGATGGATGGCGATCGAGCGGGTGTTGTCCTCTTCCGCTACGCTGCCGCTTGGATTGGGATCATCAAGAGTGGAAACAGCACAAGGGTAGCGATGGTGAACAACATTCTGATGATTCCGGATGATGGATGGCATACTGTCAACAAGGGCGACGAGATTGCGAGTGTGGAGGTGAGTGGTGCTATAGTTTGGTTGCGCCTCGAGGTTGGCGTCAACTCGTTCTATAACGAGGAAGGACGGTTTTCTTACAGCACTGATGGTGTCAACTTTGAGCCTCTTGGTGAGCCACACGAGGAAATTGACCGTGGCATCCTCCACTTCATGGGGTATCGGTATGGCGTCTTTAACTATGCCACACTTGCCCGAGGTGGCGCTGTCACTGTCAAGTCTCTTAGCATCCACGAGTAGTGAACTTTCTTCGAGCCTTCTGTCGAAATGAAGCTTGGTGAGGTGTCAACAAGTGTTCGCTCGGAACAGATTGGGACCTGGGGTTCTCGGTTTTGCGGACATTGTGCACTTCCCTGATATGATATTCTTCACAGGTTACCACCATTAACGATCAATCTTAAGCTGCCAGTATTAGAAACCACATGGTACAACTTCTGAACGATCATCGCAATCATCTGAAATGTATATACCTGTCTCATTCCTCGCAAACTCAAAATGACTGGATTCCTGCCACCAAGCACAGGCACACAAGTTGAAAGGACATCGCCCTGAACAAACACATGCCAACACAGATCTTGTAAATATTCAGCCAGCCGGATGTGCCCACCTTGGTGCCCCCGCATCCATGGGGGCTTTCAAGCGATCCGCGTCAGACATCTGACCGTCTGGCATACCTCTTACATTTCAGGTCTAGCCGTGCCGGACAGCCGGGAAGACATACGCGTCCGGGGGCGGAGAAGGGAGATCCATCGTCCGAGAACCAAAAACCCCCTTAAAAGCCCGCCGCGCCGTCCGATCCGGCCCCGCCTCCTGCGCCACCACCAGAAACCCCTCCCCCGGCCGGAAGGCCCGCTACCGCGCGCGCGCGTGTGAAAAAACGAATATTGCTGGGAGCTTGCATTTCATATGGATTACTCATATGTACTCTGCACGGAAGAAACTCTCCCAAGTTAAGAGACGGCCCAGTCTAGAACTCCCGTTGTGGAACCGTTATGTCAATGGGGCAAAAGTCTAGGCCTCTCGTTCCTACGGTCCCCCGCTCCGCCAACGCGTCCTTCCCGCCATGGATGCATGGACGAACGGACCACTCAAATGGGTGAGAGAGTAGGATAAAGGTGCCGTTCAACAGAACCAGCCGCCTTCGTATAGCAACTATGAGTGTGGCAATTACTAGGCGCTTTCTAGAGCGTATCCCATACGAAATAATTAAGGAACGGAAAGCAGTAATAGTGATGATAGCAGCAATAGCAGCAGCAAGGGTAGTAGCAACAGAAATAGTAATAGTATGGACGGCAACGGTAAGAATAGTGATGCCAGAAATAGTGGCAGCAAGAGTAGCAGTGGCGATAGCAGTGAATAGCAATAGTAGAAATAGAACGAAGGTATCGAACGGTAAACCATTGTACCACCCACTCGTTACTAAACTAGAAACTCATCTCTCAAAGGTTTGGGTATCTCCAAACAATCCACATCGGCACTTGTTCGGTAGTCTCTCATACAATCCCAGAAAGAAAGCCCACCAAATGGTCAGATTTTACTCCATCACAGCATCATTGCCTCGTTCCAAAGGGTGGGCTGTCGTTACACCACGACGCACCAAACTCAGGGGCAAATCTGCAGGCAGAGAGCCAAGCTTTTCTCGGTCCGTTAATGGCGCCAAACGGTCAACCACGCCACCAGCAATCAACCCGTCACCCAATGAGCCGCATCCTCCCGTCTACAAAGCGACCATCGCGTCACAGAAAGGAAAAAAACAAAACGGGAGCCCAAGGTACTTGGATCCCCAAACATCCAAACACCATATTGCGATCTCTGGTCTCCCACCGGGTAGAGGGTCAACGTTTGATAGAAAGTATCCGTAGCGTATCCGTAGCGCAAAGGCAAGCCCTGGGCGTAAAGTAGCCGTGTGAAACATTGATTGATAACAACGCTCCAAAGTTCGGTGCTTTCAACGCCTGGTAGATCCCGCCAATTGGACGCGCTACACGGTCCCAGCGGAACACCCATCATATCCACCCGGCTGGCTGGGGGCTGTGGCATATCGCTGGGGGAAAAAAGTTGCAAGGTAATCTATCACAAACGTCTCCGGAAGAGCCGCCGACGGGAATGTCGCAAGATCGTCATCCACAGATTCATTGAGCGCATATTGCAATTTGCAGGTCCTTCTCTCTCGGCTGCCCTCCCGGTCAATACGGTCAAATGACGATTGAGAGTAAAACGGAAGATCGGGTCTGGCAATTTGTAGAGCCTACCAATTCGTACCGCGTAAAAAGCCCCGCGTATGCGAGTCAATCATCAAGCTATGAGCGGATATCCCCCCAACGAACATATTACCCAAACCCACAACACAATCTCGTCAATCTGGGCGAAATTCCTCCTATAGCTGTATTCGTCCTCCGTAAGGAATACTCCAAGGATCATTATGGTTTCACAACCGTCATGTTCAAAATCCAAACCGTTATCCCAGTGGAATACCCGAGGGGGAGGGGCCGAGGGGCTCGTTAATTCGAATAAAGTTATAGCGGAGGAACAAAGAACAAATGAACAACCCCAGTTCATCGCCCCCACCGAGGCACCAGGTAAATTGGACCAGGACCCCCGGGGAGCGAATGATCAATTTCTTCCCCGATTCCCCGATTGTCACTCGGAACCACCCAATTTCACCTTTACCGTTTGATTAGTTTAAAAACGGTGGATCGAGCCCGCCTGGGGACGCGCAAGCACCTGTGGCCCCCCGCGGTAAGCCAAATGGGTGGTGCTATTCGGCGGAGATTGTGCCGAGTCGGGACCGGGACATTGTTTACGTTGCAGGCATACCTTCCAGTTCTACGGATAGTGTTAGGTCCAAGATGTGAGGCTCAAGTTCAGTAAATTTGGACATCCGCAAGGGTCTCGGATATTGTTGGTAGCCATGTCACATATCAACGCAGAATTGTCGTTTTGTGAATTGTGTAACTCATGGGTATATTTGATCCCATTATCAGCGATAGCTTCCCACCTCTGCCTCTAGGGCAGTCAAAAGGTCAGAATTACAAAGTTGGCTAGACCCAAAGTTGTCCTCCAACAATGTGGAAGTGAAAGCGAAAGAAACCCAGAGGTTCAAAAAAATCATGATCCTCGGGCATAAAAAAACGATACGCCGCCCATTGCCTTTGCCCACCGGAACGCCTTACTGTGCAGTTTTGAGGGTTTCTCGTCCAATGTACCTTTTCGTCGTTGTATATCCGAACGAAATGCAAAGCCTCATGTAGTCTTGCTCATCTACCGCTTTCTTTGACTCGTCATTATGATTCTGGGCACGCCACCTTAGATGACCAGTCCCTTGCCGATGCCCTGGACCTGGAACCCAAGCTTCTCAAGGTCGGGAACGGAGACGACGTTACGCCCATCGAGCACAAGACGAGGGCGCTTCATGACCGACGCTGCCCACTCCCAGTCCACCGGGTCGCCCAAGTCTTCGTTGGCGGCATCGAAGTTGCAACCCTTGCAGCCTTCCTGACACTCAGCCTCGGCCTTCATGCGCTTCAATGGATCCGTCGGCGAGTTGGTGCTGGTGCGAGAAACAAATTTCTCAAGTTCGACAATGTCCATCTCGGACAGAGTATCCTTGATGAAAGCCTTGGCCTCTTCGCGGGACGCCTCGGGGCTGCTCCAGACAGACGAGCGACGAGCAGTAGTCTGGGCCTGCTTCGGGTACCGGAAATGGTACCAGGGGGTAAGAATACAGATCGCACTCGAGCCGTGGACGGTATCTCTCCAGTTGGTGTGGACCTTGACACGCTCAACGACACGCTCGTCTGGAATGGACTGACGAACCTCCTCCATCACCTCGACAGGGTCACAGCCAGGGTCGAAGATGGCGATTTCGTTGGGCATCTCGTGAGCCAGCTCAGTGATGATGTGCACAGCAATACTGTTGCGGGTATCGTTGGTGTTCTCCTTGAAGGCAAATCCGAGGATGGCCACCTTCTTGCGGCGCAGGTTGCCGTTGAGAGCGCGGTGAACCTTCTGGGCAAAACGCTCACGCTGGTACTTGTTGATATCAAGGACACCCATCCAGTAGTCGGCGACGGTGTCCAAGTGGAGAGTACGGGCCATGTAGGCCAGGTTGAGGATATCCTTCTCGAAGCAAGAACCACCGAATCCAACACCTGCGTGGAGGAACTTCTTGCCCAAGCGAGTGTCCGCGCCGATACCCTGGCTAATCTCCTGCACGTCGGCACCGAGCTCCTCGCAGAGAGCACTGATGCTGTTGATGCTGCTGATACGCTGAGCAAGCATTGCGTTGGCTACCAGCTTGGTCAACTCGCTGGACCAAGTGTTGACGGTCAAAATTTTCTGCTCGGGAACCCAGGCGGCGTAAACGCTCTTGAGGGCGTTGGCAGCCCGAATGCCAGCAGGAGTGGTAGAGCTGCCGATCAGAATGCGGTCGGGGTGCATAAGGTCGCGCACTGCGGTTCCCTCGGCAAGGAATTCGGGGTTCGAGACAATCTCGAATTCGGCGTCGGGCTGGTACTGGGCCATCTATTCGGGTATTAGTTTCGATCTATTTCTGCTATGAAGACGGACTATGTTGTGGTTGATGTATTCTTGGGTTTAAGAACTTACAATTTCGCGAATCATGCGAGCAGTACCCGTAGGTACTGTGCTCTTCTCAACAATGACAGCACCATCCTTTGCATACTTGGCGACAGTCTCAGACGCTCCTTCCAGAGCGCTCAGGTCGGCAGTGTAGCCGGCACCGAGTCCGTAGGTCTTAGTAGGCGTGTTGACGCAAATGAGAACAATGTCTGCTTCGCCGATGCATCGCTGAACGTCGGTTGTGAAGGTGAGGTTCGGCTTGCGAGGAGCAATCTTCACGGAGTTGCTGACTGAGGGGAGGAAGGCTGTCGCCTCATTGGTACCATCACGAGAGATGCGGACGATCTTGGGAAGTCCAGCCTCGTGGATAGGGAGATGTGGAGAGTTCCATGCGGCGATACGGTCGGCATTGAGGTCCACGACGTTCACGGTGAGGTCGGGGTTGTGAAGTGCGATCAAAGCCGCAGTAGGGCCACCTGCAATGATTTGTTAGCTCCATCTTGGATCCTATCGAATACGAGGTCTGTATGAGTCCAATTTTGACGACAGTGCTTGCGTCAGATTGAATCAGTGACATTTACAGCATCCACTGATATTAAGTTCGTGACGCCTGCCAGCTAATTCGAATCTGGAGCTAATCAAGCAGTTCAAGCCTTGTAAAACATGGGCTGAACAAGGATGTAGGATGGACAAGAGTCATGGCCACGGCCACGGGGGAGAATTCGATGCCGATAGCCATCGCGACGATTTTACTTACCAACAAAACCAGCGCCAACGAAGCAAACGTTCTTGACGTTCAATGGCTCAAGGGGCTCCAGATCTGAGGCATCCAGCGATTCGTGATGCTTCAGCTCGGGGCTGCGAGGCCTAGAAGCGGGAGGGGAGGAGTTCGGCGTTCCGGTGCCAGAAGCAGCATCTGAGTGGCCTGCGCTGAGGGCCGGTGATTCGGAAACCATACTGCCGACGGTTGAGGATGAGTCTGTGGTGATGAGGCTTGTACGAACGAAGCTTGCAGCCATCGATCAAATGCTCTGTTGACGAACAGAGCTGACGATAATGGACGAATGATAAAAGGGTTGACGTCCCTTTTTGTTCACTGTGATGAAGGCCTGGGGTATTTGCAGGGTACGCAAGGCCGGTGGGATGTCGACGGGTTCCGAAGAGAGAGATCAAAAAGTGATCCAGTCGATACTCTTGATTAGAGAAACGTGGCTTGAGTTTGCGGAAAGCGAGCGAAAAACAAGTTGTTGTGGTAGTTGTTGATCTTGCTGGCAAGTCGGAGTGACGAGTGTGGCCCTTTTGAAGGCACACGGGTTGGGAGTTTGCGGTGGTGAATGGTGGACACTCTTAGGATCGGACGACGGCCGCGAGTTGTGTAAATTGATGGGTCTGAGAAGTGACTGATAATCGAAAATGGGGTTCTCAAAAGCCCAGAGCTGAATTTCCTTGCGTTGCTTGGCAAGTCGGTTTCTGCTTCCTTTTTCTGCGGTTTGTCTGGTGAATGAACAGCGAGACAAATCGAGTCGAGTCGTACTTTTGGAGCGAACAAGTACAAATTGGCGGGATCGGAAAGGTGGGTGCGGGTGACGGCGTAGACGTAGGACGAACGGCGTACGTGGGAGCGGAAGTGGGATTGGATAGGTGCACTAACGCTAAAACCGGCTTCACATGGGATTGGCGCCCTTTGTAAGAAGTGGCCGATGAAGTTCGGTGATGTGTCCCAGACAGGTGAATCGGGAAGAGAGGTAAGGGAGGTGAGGTGAAGTGAGGTGGGAAGAGCTCTTGGAGGAGGGGTGATCTGGTGTAGTTTAATGTGAAAGAAGCTGGGCAGACGTGGAGCGAGCGGCAGGTTTATTCAAACCCGGAATTTCATCAATCTCCAACGAAAGTGAGGGCAAAGCGCACGAATACAGTAACAGTACCACAGTAATGGCTGAACGGACGATTTCAAGGGGGAAAATGCAGCAGGTAGGGCACAGGGGCTCTTTCTTGATATAACCTCCAGGGTCTTGGCTCTTTTTCTTGTTACTCCCCTCCTTCTTTTCCGTCGACGGTGCCGTCCGAGAGTTGTGGACTGTGGACTGTGGACTGTGGACTGTGGACTGTGGACCACGAAGCTGGACAGTCGGGATAGGGGATGGGTGATGGACGATGCGTGATGGGATGGGATGGGACGTGGTGCGTGGATAGGATGGGATGGGATGGGATGGAGTCTTGGAGATGGGCAATGCGGGACCTCAATGTGGATTGGATGGGAGCATGGCATGGAGAGAGAAAAAGATAGGCATGGCATGGGCATCGCATCCTTGTTCGCAGATGGCCAGAGGGAACCAGCGATTTCCCATCCATCCCGGTTGCCGTTGCTGCTCCTTCGTCGTTGCTCCTCTGCTCTGCTTCGCTGCCGCTTTCCTATCCGTACCGGTATTCGTGACAGCAAGCATACTACAAAGTAGGAGCAAGAACAGGGACCAGGAGGTACCAACGACGGGGACACACCCAGGACTCTTGGAGCAGGAGCACAAAGTAGCGAGACCGGGACCGGGACCAGGTACTTAGCTTTCCTAGAATAGCGTAGTGAATGGACGTGTGTAGGCAAGGCAAGGTACTTGGGTCCGTCTGAGAGGTATTAAACGGTACGCACGGGGTATTGTCACGGAATTCTCTTTTCGCCTCTTAGTGAGCCTGACGTGTCCTGACTACCTTCCTTGTGAAATCAATGTTCGGATAGCCTGTGGGTGAGATATTGGACGATTTTCGGCGGCAATGGGAGCAGAAAAGAAAGCAGAAGCCAGATGCAGCCGGAGGCGCACAAGGGAGTGAGTTAGTCTGTTGTTCGCTGTCGCTGACTCTTCGCCTTGGAGACTTCTTGGCCTTATCGTACGGCAACGTTTCCACCGCTCGAAGCTTGGCATTCGGTACGGCAGCCGTGTCGAATCCCAAGACTCCTTCGTGGTGCAGGTGAAGGTTGCAGCTACGGAGTTTTATTGCAACGTGAGGTATCCGTACTGTGTATCCGTACGTACGCAATAGACAGCTTGATCGAATAGCGGCTCAGGCCTGGCCAGGGAGGAGAGGGAGCCAGCCGCGCATGGAAAGGTACGTCGTCCGCCACGGAGTGCTCCTATTGCCATGTTTGCTTTTCTGCAAGAAGACGTCGTACCCACGCTGTACCATTCTCTGTACTCAGACGCAGACCCCGGATACTTGCGGCTGCTGCAGGCGTGGCGGGATGCCCCGGACAGTTGCAGGCTGGCAGCATCACGGACAATGAGATGGCGTGGAAGGGATGCGTGTCCTCCGTTTTGGAAAGTAGAGGGTGGCCGGCCTAAGTGTAGGACGAGCAACGGGAAGGTCTTGGCCCGGTCCCTGAACTCTCGATCCAGAAGGCTCCCCTGTCTGAGCCGTCTCTGGTTCTTTGGGATTCTGCTTTTGCAGTCTCAAGCCTTGGTGGGTGAGGCTTATCAATGGGTAGGAAACATTCGCTGATGGACCATTTCCAAGCCTTTGGCGTAGCATCTCTGTAGTGCCGATGCTCTTAAAGCTGCAGGCTTGCTGGCAAAGTGGTTTTGCGATGTCAGCGCAAGTTGCTTTGGCGAGCTGCGATGCTCGATATTGACTAATGACAAGACTCTCATTACGTGGTCCCGCGGGAGGCACCGTACAGATGCTCAGGAAAGCGAACGGGGATGAAGTGAACAGAGGGAATGGGAGCCGAAACGGTTGGCTCCAAAGAGCCGTTTTTTTGGTCTTTTTTCCATCTTGTGTATCCCTTCAATGTTGCGAGGTACATCGGATCGGTACTGGTTTCTAGTGGTGAGATGAAGTACCTCAGTGGCTGGAATATCGGGGCTAAATGGTGAGCCGAGAGGAGCACTGGGGGCCCTCACAAATCTTAGTGATACTCCAGTACGTACGGATACTTGTAACTTCGAGAACAGTTGGAGATTGGAGAAGCATGGAAAATTGGGTTACAAGTATCTACGCATACCCGTCCCTTAGCAGAGTGACTTAAGGCAAGCCGCAAGCGCAGATAAAATGTGAAATTGAGTGGCCGTTACGGATACATCAGGAGGGGCCCCCGTAGTTGCTTGGCAGATGAGATACGTAGTGACGTCCTCTGGATGCCTTCCGCTCTTTTGCCTTTGGGTTCCGTCTGTTCTTCCCTTCTCTCAACTGAAAGCCTCAAATGACTAGACGTCAAGATAGGTAGCACTTTCCTACCACTCTGTCATTGCCATGTCATTGTCCGCGTGCTGACCGTCCGTTCCTACCATTCCTCTCTGTCCCTTGGGACTGCCGGAAACTCAGGAAGTCGCTTCCCTTCCCTCCCAGATAAACCCCTGCCACAAAGAGCGCACGGAACGACAGGAGGAGAGACTCACTACCGGGTCCCAAGTCCCAACTGCTGCACTAGCACGGCACCGCATGGCAGGCATGGCAAGCGTGGCAGGCATGCCAGCAGGGGACCTGAATTTGTCTTAGCCTCACTTGCCCGCAGGCCTGTCAGCTTTTGATTGAGCCTTGCAGTCTGTGACATCATCTCGAACTGGTACCTCAGCCCGAAGTTTCTGGACCTTGTCGATTATGGAAGCTGCTCTTGCTGGTAATGTCTTTTTGTAGATACTGCGGTGCATTGCTACCCGAGCAGTTTCCACGTCCCATCTTGTTTTCGAGATGCGGGAAAGAAGCAGCAGGGCAGGGAGAGATTAGAGAAGAAAGTGCGGCAAGACAGGCAACGACAGGCAAGACAAGTCTAGAATCTTTGGATCATGTCGGAGGCAACTCCTTCAAGCTTAAAGCGCCTCCAAGACTCCAGCAGATTCACCCCCACTCTGTCAGGTCAGGTTTTGCCATGTCAATATCTGCTGCTTTCTTCTTCTCATCCCGTCTGCTTCACTTCCCGCCAACCTCCGAGATGGCGTGCGCTCGCATGTACATACATACTGGCGCTGCCGCCGCGGCGCTTCCACTGCCCTTGGTTCGGTTTGGTTAAATGCTTAGCAACAGGTGGTCACAACGTCCCTCTCAAGACTCCGTCGGGAAGTACCAGCGCTCATCACTCCACTTTGTGCGCCTAAGAGACTTGTTCCTGGAATTTCACCATTCTGCGAACCCGCATGGTTAATGAACAGACTCCACCCGCCTATCCAGAGTCAGCGGGGAGCGCTCTGCTACATACGCGATCAGAAGCCCATCCGAGGTGCTTGCTTTCCGCCCAGCCGGCGCGTCGCTTGTCTTTCAGACTATCATGGACGAGGTCTTTCGAAATACATGTATTCGGGAGATTACTGACCAATTCCGACTCAGTACTCCTTGCGCTCGAAAAGAGGGAGAAACCCTCCCATCAGCGATCGTCATCTGCCACAACTCCCCTGGCGCTGGCGGAACGTTCTGAAGAATTGGACTCCAACTGACGGCGGACGCTTGCTGCTCGTCGTTAGATACAGCGCACATCCACCCTACTACGCGACGGGTAAGGAAGATGACAGAGATACCCCCAATGGTGGCCCCATTTCGCAATGAACATGGGAATCTCCATCGCCTCAGAATTAAGGTAGGAGACTAGGATCGGTTTGACATACTCGCTGATCGCCATCGCCCGTTTGCTTTGTCGTTTTACCCATACAACCCTCCGAGGGGTCACCCCGACCCTGTCAATCGGCTTCACAGCTCCCATGGGGGGAGTGCTGAGCCTCTCTCGCTCAGCCATTCTGCGTCCTCCGCCTGTACTATTTCCACCATCGACTCAGGTCTAAGTACCTTATTATCGAAGAAAGTTAATTCTTTCTAAGTTATAAATATAAGAATACAGTTTTAATAAAATAGTATAGTACTTACTTAGTATTTAAATTAAGATACTTTTTTAAGCTCGTTATAAAAGAAAAATAATTATATTATTAACTACTTATTATTAAGGTTCGTAATACTATAGTTTTAATTATAATAGCTTTATTTATAATAAGTAAAAAGTTTAATTATAAGTTCTTTAAAAGCCTCTTTTTAAGGGCTATAAGAGCTT